ATTTCAAGTAATGCGCTCATTGAATCGGTGATAATAACAAATTTGTTTTCATATGGTAGACTTGACGTTTTCGTAGATGTAGGCTGCAGTATGTCCTTCATCACATTTGGAAGCATCAGTGAAGATTTGATGGGTTATTGGGTAAGTTAAAGGGAGTTAAATTAAAGATAAGTTAAATTTATTTAAAAGAAAACCAAAATTTTACAATTAGCTGAATACAAACAAATAGACAAAAAGACAAATAAATGTTTATTTAGAAAAATTTAACAAAACTACTTTGCTTCACTGGCTGAATATGTCTTTTTAAGTTATTAGCAAAGTTTGTTACCTTCCATTTAAATAAAAACCACTGTCCCACACAAACTACAAATGATCTAGATCCGACCCATGAGAGACACAAAATGGAAGCTGGACAAATCTTGGGAGGGGTCAAACACCAAACTGGATTTCAGGTTATCCTGGATGATAACAGTATGTATTTTTCAAAACTAGGCTGCTTATTTTTCACGTAAAACCATGTACGCCCACTTAGCCGTGGGCTAAGACCGTGTTATCAGATCACTTGAAACGGAATACAACATCCAACAAACCGGTGATTTCCTAACTCACTATACAAAGACTGCCACATAGCATTTTGAGTATTAATTCACCTTCTATTTACCAAAACTCATTTTTTAACTCAATTAAGCCAAAATTTGCCGGTTTTTTAAACTTGTAACCGAAAATCATGTTCCTTTGTTCAAACCCAAATTTGTTTTTCTCTTTGACTGCTACACTAACGAATTTCAGACGACAAAATCCGTACTCAAAAAATGAAATTTACTGCTTTAGCAGCCGGTCTAGAGAGTAGCGGCATCATCATCGCAAAACCATTCTCTTGTTATCATAATTTTTACCATCAACCTAAGTGGAAATTATATATATATATATATATATATATATATATATATATATATATATATATATATATATATATATAAATATACTGTAAATATAACAAAGAGGCATGGCGGATGGAAGTCATCAAACGTTGCTGAAGGATATATCGAAGAATCGCTTAACAATAAGGTTGAGGTGGCAAATAAAATTTTCACAGTACAAAATATTCAACAAAATGACACTTCCACCCTGCATGTTGTCCAAAATGTTTCTCATAGTTCTAAGAGTGTTCCTCCAATGTTCAATAATTGTACTAACTGTCAAATTACTGTAAATATAACAAATTGATCTTAAAAATGTATTCAGCAATGAGTTGATGTTTTCAAAATATAAATTAATTCCTTATAAGCAATCTGTTTTCTATCATTTATGTAGAACACTAACAACTGTACGGAAATATCATTTCCTTACAGTAAGGAAGTCCTGACTTTTTCTTCAAGAAATTTTGACAGGAATGTAAAAATTCGATATCTTTGATCAGTGTCCTATCGACAAGAAATAAAATGTATTTTAAAGGCGAAGAGTGCAGATTTTATATGTAATTTTTGGATTTTGGCTGTAAAAGAAACAAATTTCTATAAAGCTGTTAAATAAATAAACGTTGCGGGATTTTTTCCATTTTTTACAAAGTCACAAACTTTTGTACGTCTTTTTTATCGTCCCAAAATTGTTATTAACCAAAAATTGTCCCAAAATTAGTTAAATGCGTTTTTTTAATAAAAATAATTCTATTTGTAGATAGGTACCAAATATTTTAAACTTACTCCAAAAATATATGTTTCTTGGTTAGCATATATATCTCCGAAAGTCGCTGTGAATCTCTTTAAAAATATTTAAAGTATTTATTCAAAACCGGATGATTATTTAGAAATGTCTACCTATACATCTTTTATTTAGTGTTAATAGTTTATATTTTCAATAAATCGGGGTCATGGGATTTTTAGAAAAATTAGTGTTTATTTAAGATAGTTTCTGTGCCAACTTAAATTTTTGGAACATACATTGTTTTAGAATATATTTCAGTTGAATATTACTATCTTACTTTTGCGAAGAATAACAAAATAAGTATTTATATTTCGTTTTAAAGCGCTCACTATTACAAAATAGACGTGAATACAAACTAAATTTTAGCAAAAAAGTTAAACATGACTCACAACAAAAGCGAAGAAACTTGAAAAACTTAACATACAAAAAGGTGAAAAATCATTATTTTTTTATTTTATTTGTAATATCTATTTACAATATTTGATTGCATTTATAATAACATTTATAAACATAATAATTTTATTATTAATTTTAACACATATTTATTTCATAAATTCATTCTTGAAGTGCTTCTCTAATACTTCTTCTCCATGATTGTCATTTTAGGCCAATTGTCTTATCCCGTTCCATTTGTGGTTTCAACAAAATCGTAGACTTTGTCTACTTTTTCTTTCAAATTTTTGATGTACTTCAGGGATGAACGTTTTTCGTCGCAGGAAGACAATCTTCCACAAATAAGATCTTGAGGAAGCTTTATTTTTCTTCCAGTGATCATTATGGATGGATAATAACTGGTCGCTGCATGTTCGGAACTTCCACATACTAGCAGGAATAGAGGAATTAAAGTATCCCAATTTTTTTGATTGTCAGCGATAAACATTAGTGCAAGTTTTCTTAAAACCCAAGATTTTCATTAATAATTGCCATAATTATGTTTAAAAAATTTCGTCTTTGATCAGAATATAACTCTAAAAGAACTCCATGTCTTGATACGACATGTGTAATATATGCTTCTGCTTCTGTATTCGGTTCTTAAATAGGAAGGGGTGCAATTTCAGACCATTTTGAAAAATATCTTTCTCTATCATCGGAGGTAGATCGAGAATATCCACTGCCAGTCGTTCAAAAGCTTATCTGTAAAGATATTGTGCCATTTTACCACGATTTCTTATTCTAGGATTTTTTTTAACGTTACATCTATTTCGTACATCAATCATCTACATCTCGACGACAGTTGATCTAGTAAAATACGTCTCAAACTATGGAAAATGTCCTCCAGAAAGGCTGCTATGAAGCTCTTGGAATAAACTTTTTGTGTGATATTTTAGTAGTAGTAATTGTTGAACTTTACTTACCCCTTCGGAACTTAATAATGACTAAACTTTCCTCGAAACCCTTAAAAACAGTCAAAAGAAGGATACTAACTTAAAAGTCATACGAGAATATCTTAAAAATAAGAGAGTAAGGAAATACGAGTATATAGTGGAACTATATTTTGGCACGAAATAACCAAATATAGTAGATCTATAAAGGCCTACTGCGCTCAATACTGCCTATTGTTATTAGAAATGCGATTTATGCAACGGTAGCAAAGGTCATATATTAAAGGTCATTCATCATCATTCGTCAAAATCATTCATCGGAGAATATATAAAAAATTGGAAGTTGACATCGGACCCTCTCAATTTGGCTTTAGAGACGAATAAGGAACTAAAGAGGCACTGCTTGCTTTTAATGTTCTAACACAACGATGCTTAGACGTAAATCAGGACATATTTGTGTGTTTCCTAGACTATAACAAAGCATTTGATACAGTAAAACATAGGCCACTGATGCAAATACTGGAAAATAAAAATATTGATACAAGGGACATGCGTGTGATAAGGAATCTATACTACAAACAAGAAGCTACAGTACGAATTAACAGCTCGATATCAGATATAATGCAGATTAAAAGAGGTGTTCGGCAGGGCTGTGTGTTGTCTCCAACCTTGTTCAATGTCTACGCGGAAGAAATTATTAAAAAAGCTCTTTTGAACGAACAAGCCGGAATAAAGATCAACGGTCACCCCATTTGCAATATCCGATATGCTGATGATACCGCGCTCATAGCAGAAAATATTGACGACCTACAGAGATTACTAAACAAAGTGGTAGAAGCAAGTGAAGAATTTGGTCTGTCACTGAATACAAAGAAGACCAAAATTCATGATAATTACAAAGAAACGTATCAATAATATCAAGTTACATGTAGGACAGAATCTCATTGAACGAGTACAAAATTACAATTACCTCGGAACAAATATTAACGAGTCAAACGAATACACCAGAGAAATAAGAATAAGAATAGAGAAAGCCCGCAGTGCCTTTAACAGTATGAAACAAATGTTGTGTAGCCGTAACCTAAGCCTAAAGCTGAAAATACGAATGCTTAAATGTTATGTTTTCTCGGTCCTGTTATATGGGGTGGAGGCGTGGACACTAAATAAGCAATGTATGGGTAAGCTGGAGGCATTTGAGATGTGGGCGTACCGAAGAATGTTAAAAATCTCCTGGAAGGATAAGATAACTAACGAAGTTGTATTAGACAGGATGAACAAACAAAAGGAGGTCGTATTGAGTGTTAAAATGAGGAAACTACAATACCTGGGACATATTACACGTGGGAATAAATATCAATTGTTACAACTAATTATGCAAGGAAAGATTGAAGGTAGGCACAGCATAGGTAGGAGAAGAATGTCATGGTTGAGAAACCTCAGGGAGTGGTTTGCTTGCACTTCCATACAATTGTTCCGAGCGGCAGCCTCCAGGGTCAAAATTGCCATGATGATAGCCAACCTTCGTAGCGGAGATGGCACGTAAAGAAGAAGAAGCAATGGTCCTAGAACAAGAGGTCGTAGTGAAATTCCACACTATCTTTCTGGAGAGCATTTTAAACAACCTCCAGTGTTCAGCATTAGAGATTTTAAATATTTCTTCTTTTTCGTCAATGAGCTTTTTCTATACTTATGAAATAAATCTTACCGAAATATTGTAACAATGTTAATTACTTTAGCAGGAACGCTAATCAGTGTAATCCTTCTAAAGTTTTGGCAATTCCTTGTATTTCCCTTCTTAAACAATGGTACTATTATATCTGTGAAAAAAGACTATTAATAAGTAATACAAAATAAAGAAAAATGGTAATAGGCTTACTTAAGGCCTAAGAAAGAATCTTTTTTTTTCATCGTGTGTTTTTGTTTAATAGTTTTTTATATTATATATTATATTATAGTTTTTTTTTTTCTTTTCAGTTATACAAACAACGGGGACGTTCTATGTCAGATGGAGAGACGCGAAGGATAAAAAATGATGACTCAACTTTTGAAGTATTCCCTAGTCTACCAAATTCTGTGTTAGAGAAATTAGGACTTCGTGGAGATGGACCACGGTAAGATATTTACTAATTTACAGATCAGTAAATAATGTAATTCTGAGAAAGTAACTGCTGTTTTATATTTTTTTATACTTCATCATCATCATTGGTGCTACAGCCCTAGAAAAGAGCCTCGACCTTCCCAAGTCTATTACGCCAGTCAGTTCTATCCACTGCCAACTGTTGCCAGTTTGCTGTGCCTAAGAGATACTACGTCTTTATCGCCAAATATATATTTATATCTGTAATATATCTTGTAGTTGTACCTCCTTCTCCAAACACAATTTTCACAGATGCCACCGAATATTCTCCTCAGGATCCTTCGTTTAAATATAAGCAGAAGGTTTTCATCTGCCTTAGAAATGGTCCATGTCTCCGATCCATATGTCAACACTGGTTGTATAAGGGTTTTGTATATGGTTATTTTTTATTTTTTGGCTTAAGTTTCTGCTTCTCATATGTCTACTCAATCCAAAATAGCATTTGTTTGCTAGGATTATTCTTCGCTTGATTTTTTTCCGTCATGACGTTCTCCTTGGTGATCAGGGAGCCTTCTTCTTAACATACCATACACCAAAGTGCGTAGGCGACTATCTCATTACTAGAATTCTGTTCTTGACGGCGTGACACAGCTCACCTGTATTGTGTATTCCTGTCCATTCTTTAATATTCCTTAACCAGGACAATTGTTTGCGGCCGGCTCCTCTCCTACCTTCGATCTTCCCTTGTAGGATTAACTGTGGTATTTCATATTTTGCTCCTCTCAATATGTGCCCAAGGTAACCAATCTTGCGTTTTTTAATTAATTCAAAGAGTTCTCTTTCCACGCCGGCTCTATTAAGGACGTCATCGTTTCGAACTCTATCCACCCAAGGTATGCGCATCATTCTTCTCAATGACCACATTTCAAATGCTTCAAGTTTGTTGATAGATGTTTTTTTCAAAGTCCACGTTTCCATGCCATAAAGCAAGATGGACCATATGTAGCACTTGACCATTCTGTAGCGTATTTCGAAGTTTAGGTGTTGATTACATAGAAGCGGTCTGAATTTCACAAAAGCTTGTCTTGCCATTTGTATTCGGGTTTTTATCTCGTGTTGTGGATCCGATTGGTCATTGATTGTGGTGCCAAAGTATTTAAAAGTTTTCACGCGATTTATACGATTGTCACCTATGCATAATATCGGGTTTTCTGGAGGGTTTCTGCTAATGACCATATATTTCGTTTTCAAAATGTTGATTTTGAGGCCATATTTTTTACCTATGCTATTCACCCTATCAAGTAATAACTGCTGATCTTCCAAATTATCAGTTATAATCACTGTGTCGTCCGCATAGCGTAGGTTGCTAATTGGTATGCCGTTCACCTTAATGCCTAATTCCGTATCTTCTAATGCTTCCGCAAATATATTTTCAACATATAAATTAAAAAGCATCGGAGAGAGTATGCAGCCTTGGCGGACACCTTTCCGGATTTCAAATTCATCCGTATATTGGTCTTGATCAATCCTCACCTTTGCTATTTGGTTCCAGTAGAGATTCTGAATAATTCTGATCTCCTTCTGGTCAATGTTGGCCCTATGTAGTAGTTCCATCATGATATCATGTTTAACATTGTCAAATGCCTTCTCGTAGTCGATGAAGGTGAGGTAGACATCTTTTCGTTGATCTAAGCAGTTTTGTATTAAGGTGTTCAAACATAAAATTGCCTCTCTTGTTCCTAGTCCTCCCTTAAAACCGAATTGTGTTGACCCGCTAAGTTCTTCTAGTATCTTATACATTCTTGAGTGTAATATCCTAAGGAAGAGTTTCAACAAGTGACTCATTAAACTGATTAAGCGGTGTTCATTGCATTTTGTGGCATTAGCTGTTTTTGGGATCATCACAAAGGATGACTGCAGCCATTCTCGCGGAATGTAACCAGTATCATAAATTCTATTGAACAGCCTTACCAAGATTTCGATATTCTCCTCGTCTAGTAGTTTTATTGCTTCTATATTAATTTCATCTGGACCTGTTGCTTTATGCATCTTTGTGGTTCTAACTGCATATTCTATTTCACTTCGCATTATTGATGGCCCTGATAAGTTTTCGGAAGGAAGTTTGCGCGTTGGTTGTGTTGGTCTTTCGTCATTAAAAAGGCTTTCTGCGTATTCTTTCCACGCCATTGCTATCTCTTCTTCTGACTCTATGTATTCGTTTCTGTCGTTGCGTATTCTTGTTCTGTGGTGGCTTTTGTATATATTCGATATTTCTTTGATCTTCTTATGTAGTCCAAAACTATCTCCTTTTTCCTGCAATTGTTCTATTTCGTTGCACCTTTCCACCATCCAACGTTCTTTTGCTTTCTTAATTTTCTGACGGATTTCTTTGTGTATCTGTTTGTATTTGTCTTGATTACATTGTTGTTTATGTTGCCTTCGCTTTTCTATTAGATCCATAATTTCGTCCGTCATCCATTCGTTATGCTTTATCTTTCTGATCTGCGTTTTAACTTCCCTGTTTACTGCCAGAATCGTTCCTTTAATATCATTGACCATCTCTTCGATATCATAATTTTGTTCTATTACTCGCATTCTTTCATTAATTTGATTCGCATAACTCTTCTTCAGATTTTCGTCTCTCATCAGTTCTCTTGTATTTATAGGTGTGCTGGTATTTGTATTTGTTCTCTTAATTTTTGCTAGTTTTAACCTCACATCTGCTATTAGCGGATTATGATCGGATGCAATATCAGCACCTGGATATGCTGCGATTCTTTTGATAGCGTTACGAAATCTTCTGTTTATTAAAACGTAGTCAATTTGGTTTCTAATTATTCGATTTGGACGGTCTCCTGGTGATCTCCAAGTATATAACTTACGAGGTGGGAGCTGAAACCATGTGTTCATGACGACAAAACCGTTCTCCTGGCAGAATTCAGACAGCAGGTCGCCTCTTTCATTTCTAACTCCAAGGCCGTACTCTCCAATTATGTCTTCATATCTTCCTTTACCCACCTTGTCCTCTTTCTTTGTTAGTCTTATTGCTTTTTCCAGATCTTTATAGAACTTAGTTATTTTTTCTTCTGACTTATCTGCTGTTGGTGCATATCAGGGAGCCTAAGTATGTGAATTTTTCCACCACTTCAAAGGTAGAGTTATCAACAGTAAATTGGTGGCCGATGTTTCTGGCTCTATTGTTGGGTGTTGATGCCATCATCTTAGTTTTCTCGTCATTTACTTGCAGGCTTATATTTTTTGAGGCATTTGACAAGGTGGTATACATTTCTTATAGTTTGCGTGTTATGCGGGCGGACGTGTACGAACTCATCACTTTATAGACCCCCATAAAATTATTAGACCCTCCGAGATATAGTAAACTGATCACCGGCATCCTTTGGAGATAGGTAAACTCATCACCGCAGATAGGTAAACTCATCACCAGTATTTTTGCCCCAAGGCGCTTGTTTCTAATGCGGAAGATTGCCAGTTACCTGTTACACTTCTAGTTTATGTGGTAATTTCTTAAATTCAGAAATAATTTTAAACAAATTGCTTTAAAATAGATATTAATATCGAAATTTTTACGGTGTGGCCTATTCGACGTATTAACCAAGTTACATAGGTTTTCGATGGTGACTTTATAATGAAAATATTTACAAGCATGTGCTGTTTCTGTTTATATCGAAAATAATCCTTAACTAATTAGAAATCTATTTATTATGACAGAATGAATCAATATGCTATCGTACAGTCTCCTGGCTTTTATAAATGGTCAAAGTCAACTTAAGGAAAAATTATTCTGTGTACAGGACAGTTACATGTACATTCTGCAGTTTTATGTACACCATTGTTTAGCACTGTAGAAGCCTAAATACAAAAACACCTAATTCGGTTCACAGATGGTCGAACGGCAATTACGAAATCAGCCACAAGTGTTAGTGGGCTTAAAACGACACCAACTTCATTGGAGCAACGAATTAATTGAGTAATGCCAATTTAATAAGCTATGTTGTCATGTGTTATTTAAAAGAAGAAGTTGCAATCTTTTGGTGAATGATTTTTGATGGCCTCTGTTGAGCTGTCATCTTGCAGGAGTTGCTGATGACTTGAAGGCTTGGTTTTCGAAGGTCGTTTACGTGATTGTGTCCCAAGAGGCATTGATGGGTGGTAGAACATGGTTGAAACTATTATGTATTGTTGAATGGAGAACTTAATTTTGCTATTGTAGTTGTTTGACAGTAAACGGGAAGTTCTTGAGGAGGTAGATTTGATCCAATGAAGTAGAGATATGTGTGTGATTGTTTGTTAAATGAAAGTGATGTTATATACCATTGTATTATTTAAAAGTTATTTATACTTATTCGAGAGATTCGAGAGATTATGAAATGTGTGTTATTTATTGAGTATTTGTTTTATGAAGGTGACAGTTTTATGACAATGAATAAGCTTAGATGTACAAATTGTGTGGGTGTGCATTTTTTTCAACTTGTAATTATCACCCACACAATTTGTACATCTAAGCTTATTCATTGTCATAAAACTGTTACCTTCATAAAACAAATACTCAATAAATAACACACATTTCATAATCTCTCGAATCTCTCGAATAATTATAAATAATTTTTAAATAATACAATGGTATATAACACCACTTTCATTTAACAAACAATCACACACATATCTCTACTTCATTGGATCAAATCTATCTCCTCAAGAACTTCCCGTTTACTGTCAAACAACTACAACAGCAAAATTAAGTTCTCCATTCAACAATTCATAATAGTTTCAACCATGTTCTACCACCCATCAATTAATAGAGTACCGGCATCATTTATTTAACTTTGTATCGAGACCTGAAGACTCTTTGCATATTGTAGAAAGCGAAACCGGTCGTCTGATATATATATATATATATATATATATATATATATATATAGATATATATATAATGGCTATACACCCCAGCGTGGGGTTAAACCGCAAATGCTTTCTAGATCCTATTTCTTAAGTGGATCAGTCTTTTTTTTTGTT